AATAGAAAAAGCATATTGATTGATTAATATCTTGGTTTTTATAAACTGGCTACAAAAATAATTATGTAAAATAAAATTTAAAAATAGGTGTGTAAGGCAAGGTAAAGTATATGGATAGGAAAACTAAAATGAAACCAAGTGTAAGGTCACATTTAAAATGCACCCCGCTCTTAAAACACACAAATACTCTCAAGCTAATTGGTATATATATATATACATTTGTTTCTATGTTTTTTAGCAGCTCATGAAATGAGGGAAAATAAGCTCTTATGAGAATTTCCTGAAGATAAAGTCAGTTATTTCACTGGAGTTTATTTAAAAACATTGAGGCAAGAGATGGAAATGAAACCCTCTGTCTCTCTCGATTATCTGTCTCTCGTGCCTCCCTCTGTCTCTCTGTTTTTGTCTCTCTTGCATTCTGGGATTGAGAATAACGAACGAGTTTCCACAGTTGAATTCTCTGAAATGAAGTGTGTCTGGGATACAACTCTATTGTTCTCTGCACTGGGCTGTTCGAAGAGCAGAATTCTAAAATCCACGCGTACCTCTGTTATTTTCAGGAAAGAGGAGAGTAGTATAGCTGATCATCTGAAAATGTCAGATGATGCAACACAATTTTATTGTTAGCTCAGAAATGCCACTGTGAGACTTTAAAACAAAATTCAACATGTTTTTCAGAGAGGCTAAACCAGTTATGACCAGCTGGCAGTGCACAAAACCGAAAGTCACCAACAAAAGGAATTATCAGTGAGAGCAAAGAGCTACACAGGAAAGTCCTCCTGCAGACGCCAGTGGCGGCTGGTCTGCCCCAGTCTCAGAGGAGCTGTGTGTGCTCATGTCCTGAATCCCGTGATTTCCACCATCAGTTAATATGGGTGAAAGTGACTCTGGATTTTTGAATGCTCACATATCACGGTGCCTCAGGGATGGGAGCCCTTGTCCTGGCTTTGTTACTATCTCTTTGATCCTGAGAGAATTTCTCCCCCATTTATCAGTGTGTCTCTTCTCAATACAATATGAATTGGACTAGATACCCTTCGAAGTCCATTCAGGATTCTAAATTTAAGCAGGGTAGTTATTCTCATAAACCTCATGTGTGTAAACATGTGATTTTATGTAACTTCTCTATTGCCAAAGTGAATTGCTCATAGCCCCTATTTTAATGATGAGAGAGAGGGGAAAGGAGAGAGAGAGAGAAAGAGAAACATTGCCTCTTGTAAGCACCCTCACCAGGGACTGAACCCTCAACCTAGGTTTGTGTACTGACTGGGGATTGAACCTACAACCTTTTGGTGCATAGGATGATGCTCAAACCAAGTGAGCACCCAGCCAGGGCATATTCTCTGAGTTTTAATGTTTGGAAGTCTGCAAAGGAATCCACCACACCCATTCCCTAAAGTTTGGCTCTAGCAAGTTAGAAATAAAAAAATATATATATGTATGGATTTCTTGTCTTTAAAGTGCACATGATCAACTTATTTAAGAAGTTAGAAGCAGAAATCTGACTACTCTCTTCCTTGCTCCTAGGCAAGAGATTCTAAGACTTCTAAGAACAGAGAAAATTCTCTAAAAATATTTGGAAATAGAATTCAGCTGTAAAAGGGCACCATCACAGATCCTAGTGGTGATAGAAATGACCGTGTCAATGCCAGCACTGTGCTCTGGTTTCACAAGGTGTCACCACTGTGGGGATCTGGACAAAGGGTTCACAGGATCTCTGTATTATTGCTTACAATTGAGTGTGAATCTGCAATCATCTCAAACATAAAACATTTAATTTAAAAAAGTAAAAGAAGAGAAAAGAAACCTTGATCCTGTTCTGAGTGCCTGTGCCCCATACATATGTTTTAGTCTCTGGGACAGTTTCTGGCACATAGAAAACACTTAATTTTGTTGAATGAATGAATGAGATATCAATTTGAAATGAGGGCACGATTCATAAATTATTTTATATTTATTTAAGATTCATAAATGTTAAAGCTTCCAGGAGAGATAGAAATTCTCTTCCACCATCTGCAGATGCTTTTTGAAAGTTTTCTTTCCTTCTCCCCTGTGACATTGGTTCATTCTTCTAAATTTGTGGACAAACCTTTGAAAGACTGTTTGAATTTGAATATGCTTCAGAGCACAAAACAAACTCTCACAGAAGCCAGTTGGAAATTTTTCATTTTTCCAAATAAATTTTATTGTTTTCCTCTTCCTTTCTAGCTGCAGATACCAGTCTCATGGATCCCTTCCTACTTTGCCCACACTTGCTACCTGGGTCTTAGTTGGCGGAGCATGGACCCCGATTTGACCTCACTGTAAATCACTGGGCCCATACTCTCCCCAGGTTTCTGTTTTACGTAGGCTAGCACCCAGCGATTTTTTTGGAAATGAGTATTTTGGGGGAAATGGAAGAGAAGATTGTGCTTTTGACTTGCTTTACAATGGAATTACCTGTGAGGACTCTCAGTTTCTCTCTCATTCGAAGCAGAGGTCTTGTTGCCTAGGAGACAGTCTGTGGATAGGCTGCTAAAGGAAACCAGGTCTCTGAGAACTCAGTATGGTGAACAGGTATCCCAATCTTTAAAACTCTGAGGCCAGGAGAGTATATCTTCCAAGTCATGAAGGGGACACAATCAGATTAATGCTCGATTTATGCTTCTGAGGGAATTGGTATAAAACGATAACCTATGGTCACAGCCACAAGAATGTGGGACCTGTAGTTAATTTATGATACAACTGGTGAAGCAGCTCCCTCTAGTGGTCAGAGCCTGTATTGCCGAAAGAAGCTAACGGGCATCTTGTGTAATTCAGAAATAAAGGCTAAGGAAAATTGAGCCTTTTCATAGTTTGGGCCACTAACAACAACTGATGTTCATAATGCATTTTGAAGGCTTATAAAACAAGCCTCCCTTTACAGGCACCAAGAGGGGACCTAGGTTATAATTACTAAGCAGTCAGCCAGATGCAAAATTGTAAGGTGTCCTTTTGCCTTTGATGGCCTGCCTCCCCTTCAGAGACGCTCTGAGCTGTAACACTGTCCACTTCTCCCACGTGCAGTCCATCATGTGCACATTAAGACTTCAGTGCTATTGCCGTCATACAGAGATATGATCTAGAATCATATATACATATATACATATTTTTTGTGGAATTAGATCAATAGATTTCCTTTCCCGAAGGAAATACATTTTAAGCCCTGCTTTCTAAATGTAAAATGAAAGACCACTAAATTTCAAGCATCAGAGAGAGGTTAACATTGTGAGGGCTGTTAGCCCAGCCCAGCTCAGCTCATGCCTTAGAATCTTTGTATCTGGATTGTTCGGGGGGTATTGGTGCAGCAGTGACAGACATGATGACTGAGGACTCAATTGAGGCCCCAAACTCTCTACTAACTCTTCAAGTCCTATTTCATAATGTTCCTTTCTCCAGAAGCTTCCTGTCCTCCATTACCTTTTCCTCGTGTTCAGAAGTTTTTATTCTTTTCCCTTTCTCCTAAACTGGATAATTGACATAAATTATTGTGCATTCAGAAAGTCATGACCCTGACATTTTGAAATTCACTCCACCCAGTAAAGGCTTTTTGTTTCCTTAGAGTGGTGTTTCCAGGTGGTGGCCCAGGGAGAGGGAAGACAGGTGGTGGATACCCACCTCTTTACTGTAGTTTAATAGAGTATATTTTAAAATTGCCCTGGCTGGTGTAGCTCAGTGGATTGAGTGCAGGCCTGTGAACCAGAGAATCACGGTTCAATTCCCAGTCAGGACACATGCCTGGGTTGCAGGCCAGTCCCCAGCAGGGGACATGTGAGAGGCAACCATATATTGATGTTTCTCTCCCTTTCTCCTCCCCTTCCCCTCTAAAGATAAATAAATAAAAAAAATCTTTAAAATAAATAAATAAATAAAATTACCATTGTTTTAATGTCTTTAAAAAAATCCTCACCAGAAGGTATGCTTGTATAGAAGAGAGAAAAACAGAGATAGAGATAGAGATGAGGAGAGAGAGAGAGAGAGAGAGGGACATCAGTGTGAGAGAGAAACATCAGTCAGTTGCCTGATGCCTCTTGGTGATGGGATGACACTTCGACCAACTGAGTCACATGGCCAAGGTGCTTTTATGTGCTTTTTATCACAATCTTTATTTTAAAGTTTAAATACCATTAAAGGATGTGCAAGACATTTGTGCTTTTGAAAATGAATGCTGCAGGAAAAGGGCATTGGGACAGCTCTGAGCTGAAGAGGTCAGTGCAATAGTGACCATCCACATTGTGTTTCCTAGGTCAGGTGCTGCTCTAAGTGCTTTTCAGTACTGACTTACTTAATGTTCATAGCAATAGTGAGATAGATTACAATTACATTCCCTATTTTGCCTGTGGGGAAATGGAGGCATAGAGCTTAGGTGAAGTGCCCAATGTCCCCTGGCTAAAAGGCAGTCTCACACCTGATTAAAGAGACCTATCATGGTCCTGATTGTATGATTCAGGGCAGACTGTTGGTGCATCTCTGAGATTTCCTTACATGTGAAATGCAGATAATAATTCCTGCCTTGTCTACTGTACTAGGTTGCCATGAGACCCTTTATTTATTTCCAAATATTTGTTGGGTACCAACGATATGTCTACCGAAAAATAACTGTGATGATGACAGACATGCTCTTGCCCTCATGGACATTATATTCTAATGAGGAAGACAAAACAAATGGACAAAGAAATAAATAAAGTCGTTGCAAATTGTGCTAAGAGCTCTGAAAGCCATGAGGCAGGGGTTGAAAAAAGGAAGCAAAGTTTGGGGCAGTGCAGGGTATGTAGGGCATATAGTGCTGTGGCTGCAGCTGCTTCGGATAGGAGAGCAGGGTAGTCACAAGAGCTCAGAGAAGTGGACAGGTTAATGAGATGTGGAGATGGACTGAGAGCTGGCCATGGGGAAACCTGGAAGAGGATGGGAGAGTAGACTCTTCCCGATGGAATGGTATGTGGAAAACCCATGTGGTGAAAAGGAGTTTCCTATATTTGCAGAAACAGAGAAGAGTGGCATGATGCCACTGATGAACTTGCTGCACTTGAAGGCATGGCGTTCAATTCCCTGAAACAAAGACACCGATGCATTGCTGCATGTACACCAGGTAAGACCAAAGATTTCATGAGAAAATGCATTAAATCATCTCATTGGTTATTTCCTCTCTCTGTGGCAGATGCATGGGACATCTCTGCTCCTGCCCACTTCTCAGGGTAGCAGGATAGTTTACTGAAACTATCTTTTTGTTGGTTTATCTTTCTGTGTTTTCTTCTTTTCTGTTCTCTTGCACTCAATCTTCTCCACTTTTTTTTTTAATGTCAGGGATTTTTTTGCAGTTTTTTTCAGTCCTTTTGTTAAAACCCTAGACCACTGAAGAAATAAGGTTGAGTGCCGTTTTTCTCTTTCCATCGGCTCTCTGTACCATTTATTTCTTTCAGTTCTTATGCTTTTCTTTTTTTATTTACCTAAGCAATACGTAATTATAAAAGACTGGTAAGAAAAATAAATTAAAAGAAATTTAAATGGCCTAATATCATGCCATGCAGATAGATATAAGTAAGCATTATCAACATTTTATTTTATTTATTATTTATTAAGTAGGAAAGGGAATTCAACTGGATGATACAAAGGATCCAGTCTGAGCAGCTTCCTAAAGATTCCTTCCCTTCCTTGTGATCTGTCTACCAGGGCAGACTCAGGGGCCTCCCTAATCCACCAGACACGAGGACAGTGACCGCTTCAAGGAGGGGGCTCTTCCTGTAGAGCACATGACCGTTGCCAGTCAGTCCCAGGAGGTAAGGGCACAGCGCATGATAGTTCTCATAGAAACACTTCACAAATGAACTTGGGCTTACTTTTTCAGGAGTCTTTCTCTCTCTCTTTTTTTTCATTTGCTCAAGTAAAAGTTACTTTCTTTTTTCTTTTCTTTTTTTAATTTTAATTCTTCAAGTACAATTTTCTGCCTTTTACTCCCATCCTAGCCTACCCCCAAGACCTCCCACCTCCCTTCCATTTCCACCCCCACCCCTTGTTTTTGTCCATGTGTCCTTTATACTTGTTCCTGCAAACTTCAGGAGTCTCTTATGACAATTTATTTAAAAATATCAGAACAGAAAGTAGGGCAAAGGGTGTGTAAGCAGTGTTGTGTGGCAATGGAATGTCCCTGCCTGTGCAGTCACGGTGGGTGACACAGGTCTGATTAGGTTTTGTATGAAGCAGATGACATGCTGCCCCCATGTTGCTCAGTTAGTATGGATAAACTCTCCTGGTTCGGCTCAGGGTTCATAGGTGTGTGTCCCAAAGTCGTCCTGCTGAGCTTGGAGCAGGTTGGCTGGCAGCTTGTCGTGTCTGTGACTGTCACGGAAGGGAAGGGCAGTGGTGAAGCAGTCCTGGCAGGTTTTGACAGCTGACTTGAAGAAGTTGTCTAGAAGTAGATTCTGAAGTTCTGGGTTAGATTAAATGCATCTTTTACTTTCCCTAGGAATACACTTCTGATGATACAGCCACCCACCCTGCCAACAGCAAGGCTATGCCATGATATTTGAGGGTCCAGCCAATTTCAGTGGCTGCCTGTCTTAGCAGCATAAAGCCTTGCATGTAAAAGATGATATTGGAAGCATAGGAGGCCTTTTGAATGTCCTCCAGGAATGATTTTTTTATCACCTTCAAACTGGATCTTTTAAGGACCCTTCAGCTTTTGGCTAGCTTGAAATCTCTTGTCCTTCAGAGGTGATCAGTGTGGGGCAAAGACTGCTTCTGTAACAGGGGTGGTGGCACACCATACTCCAGAGCTGAGGTGGCAGTTCATTTCCACATGCCATTCTGCCCCCTACTGTCACTGACTTTGGCATGGGTGAATGCTGTCACTATTTTTGAACCTGGGAATATTGGCTGTGATTTCAGTCAGGAATGAGTCTAGCATTATCTCGTTCCAGTCCGCAAATGCCTGTGCCACCTCATTGAGCTCCATGCCTAGGATGCCTTTCATCAGTAGTAGGACTCACAGATCTGCTGCCTGTCTCCATACTCAATCCCATTGTGCGCCAACCTCACAAAGTGTCCTGCTCCCTTGTCTCCCACCCAGTCACAGCTGGGCCTCCAGTTCCCACTTTTGCAGCTGAACCCTAGGAGATTGTCTTGTTGTGGGGCCAGGCTTCTTTGTTCGCTCTGGGCATAAGTGATGGGCCATACTGGGGCCCTTCCTCTCTACCACTAATGCTGCTCCCTGCAAACAAGCTTGCCTTGGCCTTGAGGCCTCAAGATTGTCTTATGGTATCTCGATATTCAGAATTTCATTTACCAGTGATGATGTCACCAGTGTCCAACAATGGTGCCAATTTTTCAATGAAATCATCAACAGTCTGACCAGCCTTCACAAGCAGTATGATCCACTGAGGCTTCTTCAGGTTGAAGACCATCTCCTTCAAGGTGTGAGCAGTAACCACTTTGGTTCCCTTTGCCTCAATGGCCAAGATATCATCAACTTTGGAAGCTGTTCTATTAAAAACGTGGATGACAAAGCCATGGTCAGTTCTGTTCAAAATTAAGTTCTGGCTCATGACAGCCAGTCTAATCAGTGCAATAGCAGCTTGGGCGGTGCCAGGGGTGGTGACTGGGCAGGAGCAAAAGAGAGGTGGAGAGCAAGGGACGCATGCCACTGGGCATCAGCATTTTAATGCATAATCTCGGTAACCGACTTTTTTTCATTTTTTGTGTCCCTTGCAATTCGTATATCATACCACTAGGTGACAGAGGATCATCATAGCATTAGTAGGTTGATTAAGTAGATGTAAATGCTTTTCTAATTTTTATATTATTCAACACATTATTATTTAGACTTTAAAAGTTACTAGCAAAGATCGACTTTTAAAGAACCAAATGCTCAAGGAACATGTATATGCTGTACTTAGTATTATTTATCTTCAAAGCTGAATTATATAATTAAGTAATGGTTAACACTCATTTAAAGTTTATTTTAGTGTCTCCAAAATAACCCAATTAAAAAATGGACAAAGGACCTGAATAGACTGTTTTCTGAAGAGGACATACAGATGGCCAGTAGACAAATGAAAAAAAGATGCTCAACGTCATTAATCATCAGAGAAATGCAAATTAAAGCCACAAGAAGATGTCTCATACATCTGTCAAAACAGCTATCCATCATTAATAAATCAACAAACAACAAGTGTTGGAGAGGCTGTGGAGAAAAAGGAATGCTTGTGCACTGTTGGTGGGGATGCAGACTGGTGCAGCCACTGTGGGAAGCTGTATGGAGGTTCCCCAAATAAATAAAAAGAGAGTTGCCTTATGACCCAGCACTTCCACTTTTGTGTACATATCTGAAGAAACCCCAAATACTAATATATATGCACCACTATGTTCATTGTAGCATTATTTAAATTAGCTAAGATATGAAAGCAACTAAAGTGCCCATCAGTAGAAAGAAGACATAATACATATATACAATGGAATATCACTTGGTCACAAAAGATAAAATTTTTCTATTTGAGACAACAGGGATGGACCTAGAGGATATTATGCTGCATGAAATTAGTCAGACAGAGAAAGACAAAGAATCTTTTCACATATGTGTGGAATTATAAAAAAACAAAAATAAATGAACAAACAAAATAGAAATGGACTCATAGATGCAGGAAACAAACTAGTGATTGCCAGATGTTATGGGGGTTGGGGGGATGGGTGGAAGGGTAAAGGAATTAAGAAGTACAAATTGGGAGTCACAAAATAATCATAGGGATATAAAAATATGGCATAGGAAATACAGTAAATGATACCATAATAACTATGTATGGTGCCAGGTGGGTACTTGAGTTCTTGACTTATTAAGGGGAATACTTTGTAAATTGTATAATTGCCTAACCACTGTGGTGTACACATGAAACTAATATAAAATAATATTAAATGTCAACTGTAATTGAAAAAATAAAACTTAAAAAAATAAACTTTACTTTGGGATCAAAAATCTCTAGGAAACTGTACATGACTTTGAGTTCTCAGCCATATTAAGTGGTAAGACTTCTATAGGCTCTGATATTAACTTACAGAATTCGTTTTTATTTGCTTCGATGTCTAGTTTTTTAAAGTACCTTTACATTAGATAAAAGATAGATATAGCTATAAATTAAAATTTAAAAATCCCAGCAACTTAGCTGGGATTGAATATCTAACTTCAATAAATACTAATTTCCCTCATTTCTAGTCTCTTTTTTGAACCTAAGAACAGAGAAGCTACCCTGGTTTATTTTTTCCAAATTAAATTGAGATATTTTTCTTTCTTTTCCCTTCCTTCCCTCTCTCTCTCCTTCCCTCCTTCCTTCCTTCTTTCCTCTCTTCCTTCTAATTTATTTAGAATCTAAATAGATTCTAATTTATTGAGTTAAAGTAGTTATTACTAATTAACTTTGGCTATTTATTACTTTTAGAAAGCCTTCAATCAGGAAATATTTAGATTTAATATGTATGAAGAACAGTGCTTTAATCTGTTGGAGAAAAGATTAGTAATAAAAATATAGGGGACTAAACAGCAACTGGTTTGTTTTACAGATTATCTCTATCATCCTTTAGGACATGCTATGGGATGCAGACTGTTACAGCCACTGGTGCAACCCCCTCCCCCAAGTCCTGCATATTTTTCACAGAACATGATATTCTGAACAGAAATAAGAAAGGTTCTGATTTCATCAGAATCCCCCAATTGATATGTGTATATGTATATGTGTATACACAAACATATATATATATATATGTTTGGTCTAAGAGGACTAAAACTGGATTATTGTCATGTTGTTAGATGAAAAAAACCATCAATCCTGACATTTGGATTTCTAACTATTATAAATACACTAAAAATGCAGTGTAACTGGAAAGTCTTTGAGCAAAAGATTATTTGTTTTGGGCTCCTCATTTCAATATTATCCTTATATGTGTCATTTAAAGAAAATTCATATACTTTTTGAGAAAATTTTTATTTTATATTTTTAAGATTTATTTATTTATTTATTTATTTATTTATTTATTTATTTTTAGAGGGGAAGGGAAGGAGAGAGGGAGAGAAATATCAATGTATGGTTGCCTCTCGTGCGTCCCCTGCTGGGAACTGGCCTGCAACCTAGGCATGTGCCCTGATTGGGAATCGAACCACGATCCTCTGGTTCGCAGGCCCACACTCAATCCACTGAGCTACACCAGCCAGGGCGAGAAAAATTTTATTTTTAAAATGTGCCTTTCAGGATATTTTTTTAACTTTCTGCTCTCTTTCTCTCTCTCACACACTCACACTCACACACACACAAAAGAAATTTATTTAATTTTATTCTCTTGCATTTGGGACAAGCTTGGTAGCAAGCTTGGGGAAAAAGTGGAAAATGGCCATTTAGCCTAAGAAACTAGATTGTAGCTTTCCTTTACTGAGAAACCATTGTACATAGATGAGAAAATATTGAACATTTCTGACAGTGATTTAATGTTACCCATTTCAAAGTCATCCGACAGTTTTAAATAAGGAAAGTTTAGTCTCATTTACATAATCAGATATTAAAATTTCTTCAATTCCTTGTGGCTATGTCAGTCTGCATGTGCATAAGCTTTTTAAAATAAGACTCAGCAGAAAAGTCTCCATAACAATCTGGAGGTTTGGAAGAAACAAAATTGCCTTTTTTGTGACAACTAAATATCTTCTTAAATCATTAAAGTGTTTTTCACTTTCGCCATGGGTTTCAGCCAAAGGATAAATCTTGAATATTAAAGTGTTTTCTAGCCTAACTATGGGAAGCAT